ACATTAGACAAATGTGTTAGACGTGTTGTAACATATCTTGCTGATTTTTCTTTTCTGATTTCTCACGGCATGAGCATCTCATTTTTTACATGCTTTGTCAGGTTAAAACTGGTTACGCTTTTAATAACCCAGTTTGAGACCTGTGTGTTTTGTTCTATTTCATCACACTCCATCTAGCATTTTTAAATGCAATAAAATGTGAACATTTAGTACTTTGTATGAAGATTTAAAGGCCTATCTTTAACAAAGCTGTAAAGACTGTTGTACTGGCATTTATGGCATGTTCTCCTCAAAATATGTCTTTAAAAGCGTTCCAATGCCACAACTTGTTTCAGGAGGGTAAAGAGAAGAAAAAAACATGCATGTTGCACCATTTTCTCCACAGTAGCAATTACTCTTATTTTTGTTTAGTACAAGCACTTAACCTAGAGACATTCTTATAAACAGAGAACAGATTTGCCTAATTGTGAATAAGAAATATGTACAGTTAGGTGTAAATTAGTCATTAGTCAAAATTAGCTAATTAGCTAAAGTAGAACAAATCAATAAGCCAAATCGTTCTGATCCCTCATTTCAGATTTGGAATACGAAAAACCCAGTGGTCTTACTTGGTTAAATTCATTGCCACTAAAGTGCTTCTGGCTTTCAATAGGTTTTTAAAGGGTATAACAGAGCTAGAGATCAATAAAATGTTTCCAGTTCTTTCAAGTTCCCTCATTCTTTCTTTCAGACAAAACATCATTTGTACTCCAATCTTATTTATTAGTTCATAAGGGTTTAGATATACTGTGTGGAAGTAGGTGATCTCACAAAAGCATAAAATATGGCATGTATCTTATCGTTGATTTTAAATGAAAACACTTATTTAGTTCACATATAAATTTTAAAGGCACATAGCTAAAGCATTGTTTTTTTCTCACAACAGTATTTAGAAACATAAGGAAAACACATCATGCAGTTTAATCTCAAAAAGTAATAAATGAGCAATAATAAAATAATACTGTATAAAATACTGTAATTACAATCAAGGGGTGCATAGCTAATAATGTCTTTAATGTGTTACAATGTTGGTATAATATCAATCATTATAAGGAGCTAAACAGATTTATGAATGGAAATATATATATATATATATATATATTTCTTTCTACCTATTTATAATGGTAATTTATGACGTGACTGTCATCTCTGTGTGAGTAATTGATAACCCAGAAGTGACTGGAGTCTCATAATGAGATTCGTTAGGAGGACAGAGAATATGCAAGAGAATAATTTGTGAATAGGTCAATTAAATATGACAGCTACCAAGAGCTTGAATGCATGGAATCACAAGCTCACTATTCTAGCTAACAAGTTCAGCACAGACTCCTGTCCTTGGAAACAAGATATAGTATTGTATGGTAATGTAAAGTAAGATAAGAGGAGAATTAAAACTAAAAATCATAAATTCTATCAGACATAGACATTCAAAGTGAGCAAGTTTCCCAAAAGTCATTCAGAGAGCTTGTGTAGCTTAATTATAATCAAGTGAACATTCAGTTTCTAGTGGAAACGATACTTGTTCCTTAGGAATAAGTGGTTATATTTTAGAGAGCATGATGCATTGAGGTAGGATGGAAGCTGCAGAAGTGATAAGGTGAGGTTGGGTGGTGTCCATGTGCACTCACCAATTCAAACACTGAGAAGTCAGCTGACAAATTCCATCGAGTCTGTTGACCATCCTGTCTTTGATGTCATATCATATCTGCCTATAGCTCTCCTGCTCTCACACCTCAGAATGCTTCGATGAATGCCTGCGAGGGCAGCTTGAAAGCTTGAGGTGATAGGGAGATACAGTGGTAGCCGCCAAACAGTGGAACTGACTTAAGCATAATCTCAAGAGCCTTCCTGTCAAATTTTACCATGCTGCTGAAAAAAAAAAAAGAATCACTTGGTCACATTTTTTCACATCCCTCCTTTCATTCAGCTGAAAAAAGGAGAGGGATTTCACTCCTGAAGGAGAAAGTTTCATAGATGTCCCTGAGAGTGGGTAGACCCCATTCCAGGTGCAAGCATCACCGCTGCAAATCAATCATTCCATTTCAGAGAGATCATTTATTATGGGTGCAGAGGGTTACGGATTCAATCTCCACCATGTTCTGACTGCCATGTCCAATGCTTAAGCCTGTCATCAGTCTTCATCTGGCTAACTTTTACTCCTCTGTCACTGCCATTATTAAATTGGCAATTTGCCCCCTCCATAATGAAATATGACAGCATACATACAAATGGCATGGTGGCTAAATGTGATAAATCACTTTGTTCAAAAAATTAGCGCCTATTGTGCACTTTTTAATAACAAACTCTCATTGACTGAAAAATGAAATGTTGCTTGACTGTGAATACCTACTTCATAAGCACTGGCAGCATGGTACTAAAAGGGATTATTAGGAATCACGTATATTAGAAAGCACAGATAAATTGCTAATATGTGCTGTCCAAGGCAATAAATCTCTGTTAAAAATGAACCTGTGCCATTGCTTTTGAACCGCCGCAATGCTACGGTTCCCTCTTGTCCTTATTTTTGGTTCTTTTATCTTTGCTTTCTGTCACATTTCCCATTTAGTGCATCACTTATCTGAGACCACTTTGACAGATTTCAAAGGAGAATGGAATACTAGTTGAGGGAGTGTATTGGGCGTATAACTCAAACTTTTAATGTAATATTGAAATAATTGTGCTAATATTCGGCCAATCTCTCTGAAAGCTGGTCTGCCAAATCACATTACGCGTTTGACAAAAAAGCAATTAAGTTTAACTGAAACATATAATTTAATCAGTCAGAAATGGATGTTTTTGATGGGTAAGATATAATTAACTTTCTCTCCCCTTCTATTTAAGGTGTTTTCTATAGAGTCTAAACATGAATAAGCCTAGCAAATTTGTGGGTTGATGTCATAATTATGCAAGAAAATGTACTATATTTGGGGCTGGACTGACAGCATAATTACAGCCACAAATTCTGCAGCAGAGAAAGCATTGAGACTGGGTATTACTGCAGCCACAATTATTTCCTTTGTGACATATTGATGTTCCTGTAAGAAATACAACGGATAAGAGAAAGCTAAAGAGTATGCTGTTTCATTGCTGTTTAATTGAGAATTCAGCTCCCACAGAATCAGCACTGTTTGACTCTGCCCAGTCGCTATCTCCCAGTTTTAGATTCCCTGTGTGATTGACAGCTCTGGTACCTTTAATAGGGTTTGTAATAGATTTGTGATGCCTCTCATGCTCCTCTGGAGAGAATCCCAACAGCTCTCCACTCAGTCGTCTCATGTCATTCCCGACGCCTCAGCTTAGATTGGCTTATCTCTGCCTCAGCCTCGCTGCTGACTCTCATAGACAGATTTCGTACAGATGTTCTATCTTCTATTTGCAACACCACCGTGTGTTCTTCCTGTACAAGAAATGATATACATTAATAGAATTAAAGAATCATTGTTATTCCCCATAAGTCATAGTTTCAATGTGCTTCCCTCAGCATTCATTGATATTCTTTTTCTTAATATTAAAACAACTATCGGAAAGATACAAACAATAATTTGATTTGCTTGTTTCTCTCTGTTGTCCTCTTGCATCTTAGTGTTTTACGGCATTGCCAGAGTAGCATAATCAGATTATTAGTCTTCACTCTCAGAAAGAAAGGTGCAAAACTGTACCTTTTAGGGTACAAGTGGCCATCAAAGGGGTAGTACCCTAAAGGGTACCGTTATGTACCTCTACTTAGAGGTACAAAATTGTACCTTATAACTTTGTACCATTTAAGGGCCAATTTTGTACCCCAAGGAACAATCGTGCACTGCAAAGGAAGGCACAAAATTGTACCTTTGATCCTTTGCGAGGCTAAATAAATAAATAGATAATACTTTTAAGAAATTGGCTTACAGTTATGCACTTTTATTTACTTTTACAAAGAGATTTAATTTATTACATCATATCTCAGTACAGCGGATGTCAAAAACAAATGTTCAGTGCACAGAAAAATGCATCAGACATTACTCAATAATAAATATACTCATAAGCATAAAGCAGTCATTTAAAACAGTAAAACATTGAATAGGAGTACAAGAAATGGTCTATACTGTACAGTAATTACAAATTCAATTGGACAAATACAAATAAAAATGTACTGTTTAACATGATGTAGCCTGTTTAATACGGTTTACATCAAAGTACATCACATTTTGAGGTTTACAGTATAAAGCAGTTTGTCTTCAGCAATAATTCCCAGTGCTTATAAATAACTTTGTAGGTATCTAATGCGTGATAATCAACCGAGAGAGGACAGTCCATATATTCTCACATTTCACACAGAAATAAATCACAACATAAAGCAACAATTTCATTATGACATTCTTCTTTAACTTCCTCAAGCAGAGGCAGAGGATCATCACAGTCTATTGTAACACCGCATGCTTATGCTTTTGGTAAACATGACATCTAAAGGATTCATAATTTAAAAACTCTTACAGTCATTAAGACCACATGTTTATGAAAAATGTGCCTCATATGCATGAATAAGACCAATGTGCTGCATTAATTTGGCAATCGTGAATGTTCTCCGAGAGCATTTAGGGAAACAGAAAAGGCAGGACATTTTTGCAGATGTTACTGTAAGAGGTTGATTACTCTGGTAACTAGGGTTGAGGCTTGTCACCATCCTCACTAAGTTTTTCAGGCACTGGCTTCCTGTACTTGAACTTGGTGAAGATGGTTTGCTCTAAATGAGAAAGCACAAATCAGATTTTATCTCAGTCAAATTTTCTCAGCAGATTATTTAACTGATGGAGAAAAATACTCTACTTACATAGTTTAAGATAATTATTACATTATACCATTTGTATGTGGGCACAGTAAATACAATTTAAGAATTATAAAAAAAAAAACATTTATCACAGACATATAAGTCAGACAGAGAACTATATCCTCACCTTCCCAAGTACAATGCAATGCTCGAGCTTCTCTCTGAACAAGGCTGGCAACATGAGAAGGTGCTGCTTCTAAAACAATTCTTGAAACACAAGATGTGACACAAATAAATATGTATAAATCCATCCAAGGATAGAACTGGATAGGCTTAATAATGAGGACAAAGCTGAAGAGTCAATTACCAAGATGGTCTTCACTGAGAGATTCTTCTCTAGCTTCTTTGTGCAATTTTGATACAAGAGATTTCCCTTGAGCGAGCCGTAGCACACTGGATGCAATGTTTCTAAAATGTCTTGAAAGTGGCGGCATAGATTAACAGATTTATACAGGAAACCAATTTCTTGATAAAGCTGCAATTAGTTAAGAAAAACACAAGCATAAGTAAATCAGAAGATTCTTTACAGTGTCAGTGTCCAGTGTGTAAATTTAGAATTATAATTCTACACTAACCCCTGATGGACTCTTCAAGAATGGATACTTGTAGACAGCATCTTCAACAGTCATCCTACTAGTAATCTTCTTTCTCCTACAGGCAATGGTCTTCCTCATTCACTCTTCAACAATGCAAGTATCTGGCTGTGTCCTTCTGGACTGGTCCTGCAGGACTTTCACATGTCCCATTATTGATGTAGCATCCTCTCCAACAACATCAATATCCTTGTGCATAACACAAAAACAATCAGGCAGCAAGTTATTTCTAATTTCTAAGCAGGAAAATTATGAAAAGGTTTGCATCTTGTCACTTCTAATAATGCAAAATTTGAGAACAATACATGTAGCACTGTAAAAAATGATAAAAAAAAAAATAAAAAAAAAATTAAAAAAAAAATA